AATCAAGAATACCTTATTAGACGCGGAAGGTTTCTCATACATGTTTGACAACGTTGTCATAACCCCACGAGCAGTGGTCTCTTTCACGATGTTGAAAGCCACACTCTTTGTCAAAGTGCACCTGATGACGGCTAGGGCTTTTCTATCCAAGTCAGCCCATTCTTCATCCTTCATCTTCTCGGGTTTCTGACCTGTCAAACATGGAAGAAGATCTTTCTGACATAGCAAGTCCTCGACTTGCATCTTCCACCATCCAAAATCTTGCCTATCAAACTTCTCTATCCTGGTCTTTCCGTCCTCAGACATCATCTCTTCTGAGTATCCAAAAAACTGACCAGAGAACACGTGAGAACAGATTGAAACAAACAACCAGAACTGACCTCGAAAATTGCAGCAGCAAACTGAACAGCAAGGTTGTTCAGACTGCCAACAGATGACTATATCGTTGGTCTTCTGATGTGTCGGCAAAAACCCTAGAGTCGCTAGGGTTGGCAGTGGAGGCAGATTTGTGTGTACGACCTAGGCTCTGATACCAGTTGTTAAGAACAAAAGCACACACACGAATATAAAGCAAGAAAGCGATAAAAAACACGAGATTTAAGTATTATTGAGTGATAATGATTACAAGTACAGGAGATCATATATATAGACAACTAATTAGGGTTTAACCCTTGCTGGACAAGTTATAGCAAACTGGGCTTAAAACCATTTGGGCCGGCCGAAACCCTAATCTGGTCGCCTAACTCTCAGTTGTCTACAAGTGGGCCACTTTGGGCCGATGACTACACATCACCAACAGCTCCCTCCGTCCCGTTTAAGTTACATATATTGTTAGCCTGACTTTCTTTTCATTTTTGTTTTCTTTTTTTGGATGGCCTACGGATAGGCCCCTACAAGTGTTATTAATATTTTACACCCTTTTTGAATCTTGTTTTAGTAATGTTTCTATTTATTTAAAGATTTTGTTTCTTTTATTCTATTATTATTATTTATGCAACTAAATTTTGTTTTAAAGAATGTTGAATCCTATATATATATATGTAAAAGAGGGTTTCAAAGTTGTGGTGACGACACGTGTCATGCCACGCGTGCATACTACTTGTGGTCACACCACACGTAAATCACATTACACCTGTACGTCCATCCATGCATGCATAGTTTATTTTGTATTAAATAATCCTTATTTTTGTTTTTTATAAACTCTTCACTTTCCAACAAAAAAGTATTTTTTTTATCCAACTGCCCAACTGAGATAAGCATCCTCTTCAAGCTTGGAATGACTCCGACGTTTTTCAAAGTCCAAGTGGCTCCAACTAAAGTTTTCAAGTCAATATCCCCCATGCCCGTAACATCCAGAATTTCATCGTTACCAAGTCGTACCTTACCAAAGTCCCCAATCTTCAGATTCTTCATCATCTTCATGTTGTGTGTGGCATGAACAGATGTACCAGAATCCATCACCCAAGAATCTATACTACTCTCTACGCTACTGATTAACACATCATCACTATTGTCTGAGAAGCTTTCTGTAGTATTCACTTCGTTTTTACCATGCGGACACTGACTTCTAAAATGTCCTGTCTGTTTGCAATCCCAACAGACAATTCCTTCCCGATGCTTGGACTGACTCTTGCCTCTACCACGGTTTCTTTCTCTTTCATTCATTCTTCCTCTACCTTCAGTACTCAACAGTGCACTCGAAGAATCCCCTGAACTTCTACGTCCGATGTCTTCACCTAGAATCAAGTCCCGAATTCCTTCAAAAGTAAACTTAGTAGTGCCAGATGCACTACTAACTGCAGTCACTGTTCCAGACCAACTGTCAGGCAAAGAAGATAAAAGGAGCAATGCCTGAAGTTCATCATCAAACTTAATTCCAACTGATCCTAACTGAGTTATGACCGAATTAAACTGGTTGATGTGAATGGTAACTGAAGCACCCTCCCTCATTCTGGTGTTAACCAACTGTCTGATCAAAAACACCTTGTTCAATGCTGAGGGTTTCTCGTACATATTTTACAAAGCTTTCATTAACCCATGCGTAGTCATTTCATAGACTATGTTGAAAGCAACACTCTTCGCCAATGACAACCTAACCACTCCCAAAGCTTTCCTGTCCAAAATCGCCCAATCTGCATCATTCATCTTTTCTGGCCTTTCTCCTGATAACCTCGATTTGCATCTTCCAAAACCCAAAATCACTTCCATCAAACTTTTCAATCTTTATCTTTTCATATGCCATTGTTTCCATACACGGCTGAAAAGCTGATCTGAGATTGAAAAAACCAATAACGAACTAACCTTGGCAGCGGCTATTCAGAACCATAGCAGCGGCGGCTAAACAAAACCCTAGCAGCAGCGGCTATCCACAGCGGCGGCGAGGTAACTGTTCACAAGACAGTACAGACCGTATTCTGCAGCAGAAACTATGACGGTGGCGGAACTGATCTTCAAACCCTTCGAAACCCTAATCTTTGATTTGAACCTGATCTCCACGAACCCGAGGGAAGGCTTCAACAATCACGAACCTAAGGCTCTGATACCAGTTGTTGGGGTATCTAAGAATACTGAATAGCAAACCACAACCAAACAAGAACACACAAAACAGAAATCAAAACGGAGAAAAAACGGAACACAAGATTTATAGTGGTTCGGTCGGCTGACCTAATCCACTTTGCAACTAGGGTTTTTATTATCCAGGTGTTCACAGAATTACAAGTACAGAGATTGCTATTTATGAACACTAAACTAGGGTTGAAAACCTAATCCCCAAGTTAGGCCCAAGCCCACATAGAGAATTAGGGCCGGCTAAATTAAAAAACCTAATTTACTGCCATATGGGTCGAACCAAGACTAGGGCCGGCTGCCCTTCTTGCTCGAGCCTCCACACTCAATTCGCCCAACAAAAGCATGACAATATTTCCAGATCAAG